AAGCCATAAATACTCGGAAACAAGAAAGTTGACAAACTACACCACAAAAGAAGTTGGAGTATGCAAGAAGAGTTTTAAGATGACAAAAAACAAGACGCTAACGACTGCGAAGTTACCTGTATATAATTGGAACTTATATAAATAACTTTGGGTAATCTATGTTAAAAAAAAAAATGGATCTTACATTTAACTTATGCTAATTACCACAAAAGAACTATTCTAATATTGTTTAAATCACGCTTTTGTAACTACCACCGGCCATCACAACTATTTTGAAAAGCTAGATCTAATTTATAGTACGGAGTATTCGTAGTAAGTTCTAGTCTGATTTAATTTTTTAGTAATCGCCGGCTGCTATACAATTTTCAATAATTTTATAAAATGTTTATACCGAAACTTAAATAATATTCGAGAGAAACACTAAGAGTTTAAGCTTCCCATAATTATATAAACGGAAGTATTAAATCATCGCAATCGAAAACGGAAAGAACTATCCCAAGATCTTGAGATAAGCGCGCCACAGGAAGCGCTGACCAGACTTGACCCTATATCCACGCTAAACAAATTATTTTTTAATATTTTTTGACAACTGAAAGTGCAGATACCCCTCGCGAAATGAACGGCAGAAAATCGGGCAGTCTGACGGGGAGCGTGGATAGTCTAAATCAGAAATAATCCGCTTGGCTGTCAGACCATAAATAATTCGATTCTTCTCATTTCCCATCTCTGTTTTGTCTTCATTCTCTTATTTTTGATCAGGGGAACAAGTTCTCATCCAGCTCCAGTCGAGCATTGCGAATTCGTTGCCAACATTTTAATTAGTTTTCTACCAAAATGGTAAGAGCTAATTGGGCAATATTTATGAGCACAATTTGAATAGGAATACGAATGGATTATAGAATACCATATACAAAAAGAATGGACTTCCTGGAGGGGGGTGGCAATTATAAACCCAACCTACCTCAAGTGGACCGCTGGAGAGCGAATGCAGGAAGGGAAATTTGGGTCATCTCGATGTGTATTTATAAAACAAACGACTTGGGGGGAGAACATGAAATACTGCACCAGATATGAGTTCACGTGCGTAAATAAACATACTGAAATATTAGCGCCTCGGACTGAATGCATAAATTAAAAAGACCTTTTTGGGGGGCCAAGCAGGAAGCAATGGGGATTCTGATACGGCACGCAACGCAATAGAGAAATCATTGACTTAGGGGACTTATGCTCGGGACATAATATGTGTATGAAATGTGTGGCTACATCACCACTAGCCCAGATGACATCACTGGGAGCTGGGAAACGCGCAAGCGCCAGTTTGGAGAAGGGGTTTCTGGGGGCTCGGGACTGGAATTTGAGACTGATGATTCAAATACACGCATATATACACACGGAAGCGGGGAAAATGCGCCTAAATCGGGACCTCCCAACGGAAATTGAAAACAAAGAAAAGGGGAACGCGATGCGCGGAAATTGGGTCAAAATCTGCTCTTGAAAACATGAACCTGCTACTCATAAAATGAAACAAATATCCTTGGCTTGGAGTCTGCTCATAGATACAGGATACAACATTTTTGGGGAAAAAAAAAATAAAGCCTTCTAGATTATTTTTCCTTAAACGTTTCCAACTTACATTTGTTAGTAAACAAGTGTCAAAATTCTTGAATATATATTCCAAAAATCTTTGTTATATTCCTCGGCTATTTTCCAATCACTTTAAGGCAAGCGCGCGAATGCTGGCAATGTCGAAACTCAACTGTTTGGACAAATGCGCAGCCAGTGGCTAGCGAAGGCCCAGGCGGCGTATGAGTGATATTTTTGTTTTGAGTGAGCTTTCGCAGAGTGAAATAGAAACTTATAGGCAAAATCCTTCTCAGCATTTTATCAAAGGGAAAGCTGGCAAGTCATAATGTGAGCTAACATAAAATCCAAAACATTCTGAATGAGATAAGGAAAAGATTTGGATTTTATACACACACTTTTACTTAGCGCTCATTTTTTTAAGCGATGACTTCATTTCGCAAAATTTTAAACACGAAAACTAACAACGAAAACCACACCACGAAGCCATTTATCAAAAATAAAAAAGAAACAAAACCTAAAACAACTCAGAATAACAAAAGTGACGTTAGGCACCGGAATCTTATCAAACCAACAAGTTACACTCAAAATTTGGGTTTGTTGTGAGTGAAATTCATGGGTGAAAAAGCTTAAAGCTTTTCCTGATTTTATATTGTCGAAGGGGAAGGGGCTCGCCATACAGTCTGAGGTACTAAAACAGTCAATTTGTAAGTGCCCGCCACCAAAACAGAAAACGATGCGTGAAATAGTCGAACAAAAACACGCACAACAAGTGCCAGACAATTGGAATAATGAGGGGTATCTTGTGTGCCTACTTGGACGTGTTTTTGGGGTGTGACTTGGGCTATACTAACCAGTGAGCTCATGCTTAGCTATGCAAATGAGATTTTATATCAAGCGGCTAAGATTTGTTGGCCACCTTACTAGGTAAATGGGTTTTTTGAACTTTTCTATTTCGGACAATCAGGAAAAAGTAAAAGTCAAATAGGAAATCTTAAGGAAATTACTTCGCACTCCATAAAATGATTAAACACATTCTGAAACAACAAGCCGCAGCCAAAACCCTAAACAAACCCTAAGCGAAAAAAACCTTTGACATTGATTTATGGGAACTGACTGTCAGAGGAATTTGGTAGGTTTTGTGGCCAACTCGATGAAGTCATAGCCCTGGCCCAAAAGCAAAATACAACGCAACTGAAAGACTAACTTGGAAAACGAAATACCCTGAGGAGACTCGTAATTAAGTTCCTAAGTTCCGCATTGACATTACAAATAACTGATCTAATGATTGACTTATAATTTAAGCATTGTCTTCATTCTTAATTTAGTTTCTCGATCATATAAAAAATATTATATATATAACGTATAAAAAATAATATTAAAATTAGGAAGCTATACATTCCCATGATTTCCAAACTTAAGTAGTAATATGTTTTACATCAAAAATACCCTTTTAAGTAACGAATAAAATACCCTCTTTCTAGGGCAAAAAACAAAGTACTGCCAGTCGTAAAAAATGCAACAAGATTCTTGCCACCTGGCCTATCTTTAGTGCAGCTTTAATTAGCCACGAAGGCAGTGCAAAGAACCAATGATGGTACACAAATCAGGGCACAGCCCACGCCAGGCAGAACAAAGGCTGTGCACCAAGTGAACCGGACCACATTTCCAATCCAACTTCAATTCCAGTCCAGAACTAGCCAACTCATTAAGGCAGGCAGGAATCGCTGGACGGAATTGGGCTTTGATTGAAACTAAGTGCCAACGGGGCTAACATTAAAACGCACTTATCAGCCGGGCCGTCAAGGCCAAACCAATGTGGTTCTTGAAGGTGCTCCTCCTCCTAATCGGGAGCGAAGTTTAAGCACCGCAGATCTGAGGCATCCGATAAACCCGCTGCTAAAAATAAAAATGACCAGCGAAGGAGGAGCAGGAGATACCAATGCAGCTGCAGACTCGCCAGTGGCTGAGAGAAGACAAATTTGTAGGGGGTTTTCTGGGACAAAAAATAAGAAAATATTAATTGCTGGTTGGGCTTTAAAATTCATTTGTACTAGGTGTCTAAAAGTATGCAGTAAAAAAGATACAGCTTTCGTCATTGGTTTAGCGCAATTACGGACTTAATATAACTATTTTTAAGCTCTAGGAACAAAAATGTAGTTTAAAAGTGTGATTGAAAATATTTTGTATGTACATATATACATATATGGAGTGTATGGGGGCTTTTGACCCCCAAGGACCCCCATTGCGTTCGCCACTGAAGCGCAAGACTCCCGCGTCCAAGCTGTGGCCAAATGTGGCCCTTGGCCTTCACTCACCTTGAGATGCCGTTGCTGTCGTCGTCGGTTGTTGCCACAGTTGTTGCAATTGCTGTTGCAGTTGCAGTTCCTGTTGTTGTTGCTGTTGTCGTGGCCCCGTTGCAGTGTGCGGACAAAAGGAGGCTGAGATGCCACAATGCTGTGGCAGCAACAACGATGGCATATCAATAACACGCTGGTCTGGATGCGGTCTTTGGCCTTGATGGTCCACCCAGCCAAGGCCCTTGGTTCGATTGCAGATGCAGATGCAGATGGAGATGGAGATGCCAGGCAGCGATTTCTTCTCCTGCTGGAGTGAAGCTGGATCTGCCTCCCTCATTTGAGCCCACTCCAGCCTTGGCCACAATTAAACCAAATTGACACCGCCTTCACGAGGCGGCGATCCCCAAAAGGGGAGTGAAAGGCGGAGCTGCAATGTCCGTTAACGACACAAGTGGACACGACGACGCATTCGCATCTCCTCGTTTGCATTAAAGTGCATCTGATAGATACATTTCGAGAAAAACTAAATTGTATTTTTACTATTTTAAGACTGTAAGACTGTAAACATTTTTTTAAATTAATTACCTTTATGTGTCTAATTGATGTGTATGTGTATAATTTTAATAAATTCTTGTTCAATCCATTAATCCCCCTTTTTTACTTATAAAATCAAATATTTCTTTTTTTATGATTATAGCTTTAAATAGATTTTTTTGGAATTTAAGGACACTTTTTTCTAAAAATATTAAATTATACTAATATTAAAAATATTGAAATTAATGATTTACATGTTGATAAATTACGAATTCATTTTCTTTGGTTTTCTTTTATGTCATAAAAGCTTTAATAATATAGGCACTTTTCATGCTAGCTTAAATTTTTTACAAATTTAATAAACAACCTTACTATATGAGGATACAAGAGGATGCACTATTTGTAAACTTTTGCACATAACAATTCAAAATGCATTTAGAACTTTTTCGCAGTGTAGCAGAATAGAAGAATCAGAAGGGACAGCAGGAACTGGCCGCTAGGAACCTCAGCCAGAACCAGACCTAGAACTCGCGAAAGAACCTGCTGGGTATAAAAGGATGGAGCCTTCGGCTCAGAATCAACAGTTACCAGTGAACTGACGAACAAGACTCACTCGAAGGAATCTTCCACTGCCAAGCCATGAAGTATCCACTTCTGTTGTTAGGAAGCCTCAGTTTGGCCCACGGACTGGCCTTGTACTATCCTTATGCGTACACTGCCGAGGGATCCGCCGTGTTCACGCCCACCCAGAGCCAGTATATCGCCAAGGATGAGTTAGGTCAGTACTCCTATGGCTATTCGGAACCCTTGTCCAGCAAACAGGAGACTCGCACTCTTGACGGGGTCACCCAAGGATACTATAGTTACCGGGATGCGGCGGGCAAGTTGCAGAGAGTTAACTATGTGGCCGATAACGAAGGTTTCCATGTGGCAGCCACTAATCTGCCAAAGACCAAAGTATCCGAGAAGTCGCTTGAATTTACTCCCAGGAGCGCGTCCTATCCGGTAGATCACCATGTCGAACATCCAGCGGAGGTGCCGCACTCTATAGTTCTGAATCCTTTTGGCCATAATCCCGTTGCGGTTCCACATCATCAAACAGTAGTTGAGAGCGGCCGAAGTGCCCATCCAGAAGGACATCATCCCATTGAGCACCACGAGCATTCCGTTCCTGTAGTTCAGCATCCCGTTGGCCACCATCCCATTGAGGTTCCACATCAACATACTGTTGTTGAGACCGGCCGCAGTGCTCACCCAGAAGGACACCATCCCGTCGAGCACCACGAGCATTCCGTTGCTGCAGTTCAGCATCCCGTTGGCCACCATCCCGTTGAGGTTCCACATCATCACACAGTAGTTGAGAGCGGCCGAAGTGCCCATCCAGAAGGACATCATCCCGTCGATCACCACGAGCATTCCGTTGCTGCAGTCCAGCATCCCGTTGGCCACCATCCCGTTGAGGTTCCACATCATCACACTGTTGTTGAGAGCGGCCGAAGTGCTCATCCAGAAGGGCACCATTCGATTGAGCACCCTGAGCACTCGGTTTCTGGCTCAGATCCAGCCGGACCCCATGGTGGCCACTCCCAATTGCCTCATCCTGTTTCTGATACCGCGGAAGTGGCTGCGGCCAAGTCCCTTCATCTTCAACGTGTCCATGACGAAGGGGTGCGCAACCAGGTGCTGACCAAGATTCCAGTTGCAGTGGCTCGCAGCCACCATGTCGTGGTTCCAGCTCCAGTCTACGGATATACCATTCCCAGGTACTACACCCCCGGATACTACTTCTGAACAGCAGCTGCCTTAGCCCGATTTGGTTCATCATTCAAGAATTTCGAATTTAAAATATAAATTGTCAATCAGTCTGCGGCGTTTCATTCAATGTATTGGTGGGACATTAATAGGCAGTTGCCAATTCATTTTCAATATTCTGAAATCAATAACTTCTTTTCAAATATTTAGAAATCGAATTTTACCCTTAAAGTTTGTAATAGTATCTTTGGTTGAATTTAATTATAACTAAAATCGCGACACCTAAAGTTCAAAGTCCGGCTGATCCATTTAGCTGCTTATCTCCAAGACCGGAACCGTTCACTCGGACCCTGTCCTACCTCAACCTTTTGGCCCCAGACCAACCGATCACATTCCACATATGTACAGCATAAGCTCTTCATAAATGTGGGGCGAATTTTGATTTCAATTAAATTTAATAGCAGCATAAACAACGGCAAAGGCAACAACCTAAATAACTAAAACTGGAAAAGGTAGCCGGCGTGTCCTATAGCCCCACCCGGTTCCTTGACCCCTCTTCTGACAATTTCGGGCTCACACTTAGAGAATCAAAAGGCCAATAATTATGACAACTCTGTACAAACGTTTTCGTTTAAAGGTGGTGATAAAGATCAAAATAAAACGAGTAACTTCCTGTTTTCATTCGAAACTAATTTGTAATACAACTTTTCCCTCTAAGGATGAATTATCTTCAAACTCCAGTTTCTCCCAGTGCACATCCAGACCCACTGAAGAGCAGCCTGATTAAGTTCTTGCTTTGTGGCATTGCGGAACGTTGTTGCTTGTCTCTGTACATGTCCACATCCGATACCATGCGATACTTATAAGATACGTGTTGCTGCCCCTTGCGCAGATGAAAACAAATTGCGGCTTTTGTGCTCAAATTTATGCTGAACTTGTTGAAATCGAAATCGACAAAATATTTATGTACGAAAATGCGAGGAAGCAGAGGAAGAGGAAAAAGGAACAATAATCCAGCCTGGTGGAATATGAAAGTAAAACCCAACCGGACGACCTTCCTGAGAACTCACGAAATTGTAAATTTTTGGCAGGAGGCGCCGCCTATAAAAGGCAGAATCCCCAACCGATCCCAGCACAGAGTTCTCTAGAGCGAGTACTAGTTCACCACACTAGCAGCGCCTTAAAAAGATTCCAAAACACGCCAAATAATCTTGAAAAGCCACGCTTGAGAAGATGCATTTCCTTAATCTTTGCCTGATTTTTACAACCATCGGCTTGGCCGTCGGTTCACCGACCTTGGAGTACGGAACCCCACCAAGTTCGGATACGATCAGTCAGTATCACACCCAGGATGAGCATGGTCAGTACGCATATGGCTACATGGCTCCACTCTATTCCAAGCACGAGACCCGCACCGTTGATGGTGTGATCCGGGGCACTTTCTCCCACGTGGATGCCAATGGCCAAACCCAGACCGTGGACTATGTAGCCGACGCCGAGGGCTTCCATGTAACCTCCAATCTGCCCAATCAGCAGGCCATTAAGGAAACCCAGGAGGTGGCTGCTCTGCGAGCACAGCACCTGGAGGCGCATAACCAGGCCAAATTAAGGTTGGCCGGAGACTACTCCGCTGGTCCTCAGCCTGTTCAGGACACTCCCGAGGTGGCCGCCGCTAAGGTTGCATTCTTCAAGCGTTTCGAAGCCGAGAAGCTGCGCAACAAGTTGCTCGCCGAGAAGAAAGTTCTGGTGATAGCGAGTCCCGCTTCCATCGCTGTTCGCTCCCAGCCGATATATGTCTACCAACCCACCACAGGATTCGTATACAACTATCATACCAAGACGCAGGCTCAAGTTCCCTCCAGGAACTACCTGCCTGTGGCCTAAAGTTCGGGTTTGTCGTCTTTGAAAAATTATGTTATTTGTTGAGCAATAAATGATGCAAATCGGAAATTTAAATTTGAACTTTGTTAAAATCCTTGGGAGAGTCAAGGGCTAAGAAGGGCTTAGAAAACACTAACGAAAGTGCTTGAAGAATGCTAAATTTAAGTTCCTGGCTATTGTTTAAAAAATTACGATTTGTTCTGTCTACTTTTAGAAACTTTTAGGTAAATGTTCTTAAGGCCAGTACCGCCTTGTGGTGTCTAGTTTTAATGTCTAGCATACTGTTATGACAGTTTACTAAAGCAGTATTCCAATTATTTCACCATTTATCTGTACAAGTTACATTGCTTATCAATGATTGTAATCCAGATATTCATTGTCTGCAATAAATTCCTTTTTAAACGCCAATGACTCTGGTTACGTCTTTAGATTATATACAGATTTTCAGTTGATCTGGATGTTCACTTTTTCACAACATAAGAAAAAAGAAAAACATTTGACTTTTGGCACAATGGTGCTCTGTCTTGCATTTATTCTTAGGAAACACATCATAGTTACACCTCACTTTGTTCCACGATTATTAGCAGGTCATCACCACGATCATCATCACCATGCCTTCAATTGCGTTTGCTTACCAACAAACTGCGACTAAGGGCCACCGGGCGCAGAGTTCGCAGCTCCGTGGGCGTGGTCACACTGTACTTGGTGTTCGGAGAAACCAGGGTGTAGTAGGCACCGATTGGCACACGGAGATCACTGTTGTCTAAACGATCCTCGAGCAGTTTCTCGGCACTGGCCAAGCCGCCGAGCTTGAGATAACTGCTGGAGCTTAGATCAGCCAGGGAGTAGATGGTGCGCAGGCGCAGATCATCGGCATCGCGATCAGATGAGATCTGACGATCATTCTCCCGAATTTGGCTCGATTCTCGCAAAGATTCTTGGCCTCGGGGCTGATCTTGACGTTGGTTTTGACGCAGCTCTTGACGGGATTCTTGGTCAGTTCTTAGGTCCTGTCGACGATCTTCTCGACGATCTTCCCGCCGATCTTCTCGCCGATCGTCTCGCCGATCTTCTCGCTGATCCTGTTGCCGATCTTGTCGCTGATCCTGTCGGCGATCATCTCGCTGATCTTGTCGGCGATCATCTCGCTGATCTTGTCGCCGATCTTCTCGCTGATCTTGTCGTCCATTAACTCGCAGATCTTGACGTCGATCTTCTCGCTGATCCTGTCGCCGATCTTCTTGCTGATCTTGCCTCTGCTCCTGCCTCAGATCTTGCCTCTGTTCCTGCCTGAGGTCTTGTCTCTGGTCCTTCCTCTGATCCTGACGGATTTCCTGATCCCTTTGCTGCTCCTGGTCTTCTCTGTTTCTAGGCAAACTGAGCCCCCGCTGGCGATCAGTCAGCATAGCTGAAAGCTCGGCACGAACTCTCTCCAAGATGGCCGCATCCTCATCGGTCAAACTCTGCTCTCCCGACTGCTGATCCTCGTTGCTATTCCTGTTCTGATCCTGCTGCCTTCTGTCCACCTCCTCACGCAAACTGATGGCCAGAGCTTTCTCTCTGGCTTCCCGCAGAGCATTCAGGTGGGTAAGACGAGCCTGCTGCACCTCCTCCGTGTCGGTTACCGGCAATGGAGCTTTTCCCTCGTCTACGGGTGCTTGGGGTTGGTTACTCGCTTCGGCCTTGAAGCCCTGAACGCCATTGGCCTCATATCGAACCGTTTGTAGTTTTCCATCGGCATCCACATAAGAGTAGAATCCCCGGGAGGTTCCATCTCGGGAGGAGTACTCAGCCCTGGCCGCATTCTCATCACTGTAGCCATAGGAGTAGAAGGCCCTGGCCGTATCTTGCTCCTGGTAACCACTGCTCGCCCTTTGAGGCAATCCTGCAGCCGAGGTAAGGGCCAAAAGACCGCCTAGAATCGTCCAGGTAAAGCAGTGCATCCTCTTCTTTTGATTGCTCTTGTGGAACTGATGCTGCAGTGACTCCCCGGTGGGTGTTTTATACCACCTGCGGGTAACTCGAGGCGCCACCCACCACCCGGTCTGCACAATGACCTCGAAATGCGCAAGTCGATCCGCTGCGATCCGATTGGTGTCGATTGCTTTTGGGGCCTCTGGTTCGCTACCGCACGGATGTTGCAATAGTGAACTTAATATTGAGACACGGATCCATCGGTTGCGCAATTGGGCGGCACTTCCAGCTAAGATTTGTGTCTCCGCGGATGTGGCAAGCGCACCCTGGATTCAAGCGGAAAACAAATGGTGGAAGTCTATTTGTTTGGTTCAATGGGATAAACAGCCATATTCGATTACTAGACGGATTCAGTGATTCCCGTTTAAGTGGCTGACATGTATTAGAGGTGGATTAATAACTAAGGAGTTGTATTATGAGTATCGAAAGTTTTTTGATGAATGCTTTAAATATTAATATCATATCATATAAGATATTAAGCCAATTAAGAGAGGAATTGTCATCATTTTCTAAGCTTACGCAGTTATATTAAAAAAACAGTCTCCACGAGAGCGAGCAGACCCAAAAAGCTTAGAGAGCTGAGATGGCAGAGAACTGGCGATAAAGTCGGTAGCACTTGTTGATCGAAAAATTAGTTTTCCTATTGCCGCTGACTGAATTGCACGGAGTCCAATAGAGCAAATTGTTTCTCAACAGCGACATGGATTTAGCAGGCAAAAATGTCGTTTACCTTGGCGGATTCGGAGGCATAGGCCAAAAATGTGTGCAAGAACTGCTCCAGCGACAACTAAAGGTGGGCTGTCCAACACCAGAGTCTTAATACTATCTCTAATTGGTTACTTCATTAGGCTCTGGCCATTTTCGATCTAGATGCTAATGAGAAGCTCTTGGCTGAGTGGAAAAGCCAGCATCCCGATACGGATATCTTCTACCAAAAGCTGGACATAACCCAGAAATCGGATATAGATGCGGCTTACAAGGCAACCGCCGAGAGATTTGGGCACTTTGATGTGGTGGTCAACGGCAGTGGACTGATGAACGACCGTCTGGTCGAACTAACTATTCAAGTTAACCTGGTAAGTGAAAGGAGAGTTTGTTTACTTTTTTAATACCCTTATTTAATTGCTTTCCCTGGCTGTTGTCAGCTGGGTGTTGTCAACAGCACTTTGACCGCCTTGGAGCACATGGACAAGGCCAAGGGTGGAAAGGGTGGACTCATAGTGAATATATCCTCGGTGGCTGGACTCCAGCCTACAGCAATTATGGCCATTTACTCGGCGGCCAAGACGGGCGTTACCACATTCACCAGGGCCATGGCTGTAAGTAGGGAAGGGAACTGAAATAAAAAGGAATTAATTGATTTTAAAGTTAAATATAAAAATAATATTTCATCCCTTTTAGAACCCCTTCTTTTATGCTCACTCTGGAGTAGGCTTCATTACCATCTGTCCGGGATTCACGAACACGGGACTCCTGGAGGACATCGCCAACAAGACGACATTCACTTACGACAATCCCATGCTGGCCATGTTCAACCGGGTGAAGCGACAGACGGCCGAGGATTGTGCCAGGAACTTGGTCTCAGCAATAGAGACTTCCAAGAATGGAGCAGTTCTAATGCTAGAGTTGGGTGAGACGACGGAGGTGAACATGCCAGACATATGGAAGCCCCAGTTGGATAACTAATACCGCACCCTCTAATGTTGCTAATTGCAAACATTTAATCATCAACTGATTGGTGATTTAAAAATAAAATGTTATCAGTTAATGGAGCTTTTTTAACATTTAATGGGGCCATACGGACAGAAAATAGGTTACGTTTCTATTTATTAGTACCACTTCTAACCAGAATACTAAATAAATAGAAAACCTAAATTTAGTTTTTTTTCAAAATACAAATTTCGATTTAAAGATCTTTTTCATCTAAAGTTAATCCTCGTTTTTAACTTGTCCTACTTCCAAAGATGATATAATATATATAAAAATATAAGACCGTCTATAAAAATGGCCTTCTCCTCTGCTATATAAGCGAGGCTATCAAACATTTCCATTTATACAAATATTCTTTATCAAATCTGTAGGCCCCACATAAGATAAACCAAAAATAGAGCGATGGAAACTGGAATGATTATAACTTGTTGAGATCTTCGCGAGTTGCAGCCAAATAAACTGCACGGAATTTTTTAGAGAATTTACGAATTGCGACATGGATTTGGCAGGAAAAAATGTGGTTTACCGGCGAATTCGGCGGCATAGGCAAAAAGTGGATACAGGAACTAATTCCCTGCTCCATTAGAGTCTGCCCATTTTTGATTTGACTGTGGACGCCGAACTCTGAGTGGAAAAAGCTTAATTCTAAAAGTGAAATTTTATACCAAAAAATGGGCATCACTTAGAAATTGGATATAGATGCTGCCTATAACGCCTGCTTGAACTGACCATTCAAATAAATCTGGTTTTAATATAATTACACGTTCAGAGGGATTTATTTATCCATTTTTTGTAAAGGTGTAGCACTTTGACGGCACTGGAGTACATGAATGGCCATATACTCAACTTCCAAAACAGGTGTCACCACATTGTAAGTTTTATGGAAAAAGCAAAGCATATACTGATTAATACTTTTCTGAAAGTTCCATCCATTTCGCTCTAAGAAATTACATCTAATGAAAACGACATTCCCATTTTACGAAACTCGCATGCGGACCGTCTTTAGCAAGGTGAAAAGACAGACGGTGGAGCAGTTCTGATGCTGGAACTGGGTGAGATCCACGAATTGGACCTAGCAAACCAGTGGAATCCCCCATCTAGCTGCGTATTCGTCTGTTTAAGCTAAACGTATTCATAATAAACCTTTTTGAGTAGTAAGCATTCCCACATTAACCGCAAGAAGGTATCAAGTTGGCAGGCAACCAGAACCAAATCAAGTCATATCAAATTCAGTTTTATAATTCGAATAAGTTTCTTTTATTTTAATTGCAGGCATACACACACAAAATTGAGTTTGTTTTTAGTTTGCTTTTGAGTTTTTGGTTTTTGATATCTAACATTTACAATGAATTTTGAAGATAAATATACAAATTCAGCACATCCAAGAACATACATTTTATCGATTAACATTCCACAAAACTAGAAGAGATGTCTGATTTCGGTAGTCCGAAACTTTGGATACCCTAGAAAAGGAATTGTCATCGTTTTGAAATGCTCTAGGCTTTAGAGGCTTTCGATTTTATCTGCCAGAGTGTAACAAAATAAAAATTTTATGATGAAAGCATTTGCAGATCATTTATCTGTATAATAGAGTTTTTCATTCGAAGTTCCCAGTTCTCAAGCTGCCAGCAGCAATTAAATGGGATAGCACAAAAGGTTCTTAGTAATTAAAATACACCGATTAAAGGTTTAGATATAATCTGAAAACTCTTCCTTTCTAGGGTATCATAACCGTGGACAGACCCGAAGGTATTGGGAGATCTCTTGAAGTAGAAGCACGTCCCTCTTGTTGCTGAAGGTTTGCCTTTCCTGTAGAGTGCATGTAAAATACAATCTCTGCTTACATAGTTCTATGATACAGTATACGCCCGTCGGATGCATCCTTCCAGTGGCATGTAGTGTGTATTTAGATACATTATTATACTCGTTATAGTTAGTTTTAATTAGCATTTAATATAAAGACATTTGTTCGTTCCCATTGAACTGGGATTAGTTTCGCATGTTAACTGTAAATTTCACATCATCACAATTCAAGGGTCTATAACTTATAAATTACACCAAAAACAGCAACGGTTCGTTTTCAAAGACGGGACCTTTAACCTTTCAGGGAGCTTGTGCTCTTCCATTGAGCTTCGACTTCTGGGTAGTGGGCTTAAAATTGAAAGTATCGTATTGTCCTCACCATAACACACATTAGATGTGCTGAAAGGGAGTCCCTGGCTATCTACTTATTACTCGATTGCAGTGCTGAGTAATATCGAGGATCTCTTTGGGTGGCTCGACAAGCAATCTCCTGGCAGGTTATAATAGACTTATTGGATCTGAGCTACTGCAAAGTCGTCTGTATCTGTATCTGTGCGACCTTGGTCGTTTTACATCACTAACCCTAGGTTGAGGAACAGAAGCGCCTACTATCGTACCATATTTAACCATATTTTACGTTTATCTTATTAAGTTATGCGGATTGTCTGTAACTAGTTGCGTTAACTATAGGATTTCATATTGTATTCCATTAAATTTCTTATCTGGTGGTTGCTGTTGGTGTTCTTAGTTTCTTATACTCTGCTGGTGGTTATTTGGTTAAGTTTCTCGTTTGCTTTCTTCGCTTTGATATGTTTTGCATATCTTCATCTTTTATCTTTCATCTTTCGTCGTGAACTTAAAACAATGCAAGAGGTAAACCGAAACAACTAAAGTTTTGTGAAAATTTATTGGTAAATAAAATAAATAATTTGTTTTTTTTTTCATACTTTTTTCCACTTTGATTAACAAAACTCGAAATTTGCTTAGCGTAGAAACATTGAGTGATAATACCAAAAATACATTTAATTAACATATGTAGGTGTAAATATATATATGCATTTAAATAAGTGTGTGTAAATAGAAAATGTCTGTGTGTATGTGTGAATTGCTCGGCACGATCTGTTTAAAAAAAGAGCCTCGGTCAGTTTTGAAATATTAAAGTTGAGGGGATCTGCTGGGGGGGTTGCTGGACTGATTGTAAATTATAAAGTTACAAAACTCAACTCAACAAATACGTTATTATGAACTGAACCCATTGGGTTTAAGCTAAAAAAAAAACTTCACCACAGCCAAAGTCTGAGCGGATATCACCAAATGTGGATCTGAATCCGTATCTGGATCTCAATTGGGACTTAAGTACGCAGTTGAAGGACTCTCCGCCCAGCCTTCTTCAAAATTTTCGCGTTTATCAGGAGGTAAATGGATTAAAGAAATCCAGTTAACTCCCTCAATTCGCTTCTATACACTGAATGCTTTAGTTTCTGAGTAATAGGAAATTACATTTACATATATGTTTTTGTTTTAAAATTGCTTCGATCAATTTTAACTAGCTCACAACTGAACACACACTCCCCGAGGCGGGGAATATATTTTTACATGGATTCTACTACACACACGGCATCGAAACTCGTTAACAATAAATATATTTGTAAAGATATATATGTTATATTCTTCTATGACCAAGCGTGGTTATATATAGGGTTCCTGATTTCATCGCTTAACAAATACAAGTTACAAAATCTTTCACTTTTGCTTCAAATCAAACTGATGTACAAAGTCTTGAAAGCAAAACGCAGGCTCAACTGACATTAATATATAATATTAATAATAGAGCGCACAATTGATTAGTTTCTAGATATAAATACAAATTTATATTTGCGTAGAGTAGGTATGTGTAAATGTTCTCAAAGCCCTGACTGACATTTAACTTCCTGTTTGCAAATTCTCCTGTACTTTACTTTTCTCACAGTTTACAAAAAGGGATAATGGGACGTGATTTTAATTTATTTTCAATAAATTTAATATTATATAGTACAATAGTTAACAACATCGCACAATAGCGTTATTAAAATTTCTTTAAGAAATATAAACATTCATTTCACACACATACAAATGATCGTTCGTGTCCTGTGGCTCAGTATGTATGCGTGTTGGTGTATGTGTGTGATTGTGTTTTGAGGGCGATAGGATTTTTCAGATCCTGTCAGCCCTGCTGATTTTGTATATATAAAAATAGCGTTTTGAAATAGTTAATTATTAAAAAAAATATTTAGGTTTACATCTATGTTTCCAGCGTTACACAATCAATCAAAATTTGATCACAAATAATCAGGAGGGGGGATGACAAACACACTATTTTGGATAAGAATATGAGTTCTGCCTAGATTTCGAAGTCTTGTGATCATGGTTCAGTTAATTAGTGCACAGTAGCTATTTCATCTGAGAAAATTGCTTTAAAATCTTCGCTGCTATACAAATCTGGATGTTGCTTGAACTCAACAAGAGTTTGCATATCTCATCCTCATCACTCTTGATCGCCTCTTTTGGGGTTCCTACGGATCTACGAGTCTGAGCTGAATTCTAGGCTACACACATAGTTTACAATCTAGGTTGAGTTTATTTTTGTTTGCTGTTACTTTTCACTATGTGTGCTGGACACAATCCCCGAATCTGAAACATAACACGAACATGAGTAACACATTTCCACAAAATTTGAACAATGAACTAATTAGACAATTATTTAATAGATTCTAATAGACGGTACCCAACCCAATTGATGTTTTGTTTTGGCTCCGATCCAATAACGGATCGGTCGGATCAGATTTAACTACAATTACATTTGAAATTCTACCAAAGTTTGAACTGTGCGGTACAAACCTCTAACGATGCGTAAAATGATTGCATTATACATATTCTCTACCGCCCATTCGATCTATATAAAACCTATATAGAAATTTCCTCTGGCAGAGTGAACCGGAATGCAGCTCCTAGTCCACCTTAATCCCACTGTCATCGGGATCGACGATATCCACCAGGTTCTTCTCTAGCTGCAGCATCATTCCACTGTCGATTCCGCCCTCGAAACTGTCCTCCGACATTAGCTGTGGCTTCCTGCTCCACACCGGCTGCTGCTGCTGATTTAAGGAAGATATTTAAGCAAAAGATTAAAGAAGTTGTAAAGCCTTATCAGCTAGAAAATGAAGGTTATTCACAGTCGACGTTCAATGCCCGCCAGTATAATATATATGTATGC